TTTCTGTTTTCTCAAGAAGGACTTTGAATTTTTCAAAAGTAAAAATACAGAAAATTCTGTTTTTAGTTGCTTTATCCAAATATGCCAATTTCAAAAATTAGTGAAAGAGCCCATTATATGAAAATTGTTCCTGCGCTAAACCAATATCTTGCAGTGTTTCCACGACCTGAGAAAATTCAGATTAATTGCGACAATAGAAAAGAATCCAAGGAATTGAAGGGAATCCTACTTATAGAAAACCACCCATGTGAAGTAATATTCAGAGGAAACAAATTCAACTTTCTCGAGAAAAGCTACGGAAGACCAATGATATTCAGCGTTCCGGAACTGGAATTACAAAAACAAGAAGTCTCCACACTTAGCATTCCGCTAAGGAAACTCAGTTTTGAAAATCTTCCAACTTTCAGTTTTCCTGACATAGAACATTCGGAAAGCCTTTACGTTCCTAGTTTATGGACTGTAATATTGTATATCATTTTAACAGCTGTTTTAGTATATTTTAGCATCGTTTTTTTCAAAAAAATGGCTCGAAAAAACCAGAGGAAAAAGAAAAAGGACGCCCAATACTGCAGAAGAATTAGCAAAAACACTTCCAGGGGAAGCTTCATTCTAGTGAGGGAGGAGTTATATGCCATTAGTGCCATATAAGCATAGTAATACCATTCACCTCTCAACTTGACGCCAACCGACCGACATTGGAATCCGATGCAATCGTCAATATTTGTAATAACTAATTAAGGACAATAACCGATGTTAATACTGTAATAAAAATTATAATTCAGTCTTGAGTTAGAATCCGTAGTTGTAACTTTCATAAAATAAATTGTTTTAAAAACCCTTTCGCGCGTTTATCAAATCAAAAATCAAAAAATCAAAATTTTATTCACGCATATAGCATTTACAATAGTTAATTAATTATTTCTACAAAAAGTCAAAAAGGACAAAATATAATGTATCAAGGAATCAGTGTCTGAAACAATCCAAAAAACAAGACACAAGACACAAGATGGCGGGATAAAAACAAGACTAATTATCAATTATATAAGACATTCTTAAGTTTAGTCGAAAATCTTCCATAAGATCGGTCAAACATATCTATGTCACATTTAGTTAAAATAGCATTTGACAGCTTTGACATTCTACACAATGGAGAATTAATACTATAATTAGTTCTATGAAAATCAACATTAAACAGAATCCTATTTCTAACATTTATTGGGGAAACATGAATGCCAATAGCAGCTAGGAGGTCAGGTGCATCTATCATACTATTTATGATTTTATAGAAGGTGGAGATGTCAAAAAAATTTCTTCTATTTTCCAGTGATGTCAAATTCAAAAGTTTCATAATGTCAGCATAGTTAATTTCCTCAGATGGAATATGAAGTTTGTAAGCTATTCTACTCAAAAATTTATGCTGAATTCTTTCCAACCTTTTTCTATGTACACCATAGAATGGTTGCCACACACAACTGGCATATTCCAGGATTGAGCGGACAAGGGCACAGTAGAGTAACTTGAATGTGAAAATATTCTCAAATCCTCGCAGTGTTCGAAAGATAAACCCCAGCAAACGCATTGCTCTGTTGGTAATTACATCAATGTGATGAGCAAAAGTAAGTTCGGAGTCAAACCAAACACCAAGATCTTTTACTAGGGACTGTCTCTCAAGCTGTTCAGAATTAAGCAAATAATTGTAATTGTGAGGATTTTTTGATCTACTAAATGAAACAACTTTACATTTCTTAACATTCAATGAAAGATTATTATCAGTGCACCATACAGAAAAACGATCCAAGTCCTCCTGCAGCAACCGGCAATCATATATTGTTTGTACAACTCTGAATGGCTTTAAATCATCAGCGAAAGCAAGAAATCTACTATGCTGGAAAGAGTCTTTAACATCATTAATAAAGCAGTTGAATAAAAAAGTTGAGAGGTGTCCACCTTGGGGAACACCCGAGGTAACTCTTGTTTCAGATGAAATATAGTTTTTTATTTTAACCGCCTGCGTTCTACCTCTCAACATATTTTCAAACCAACCAAGCAGCTCTCCATGTATTCCAATAGCTTCCAGCTTTCTTAACAAGATGCCGTGATCAACCCTGTCAAAAGCCTTGGAGAAATCTGTGTAGATGACATCAACTTGACACTTATTCTCCAAGGCTTCCAACAGAGACTGCTCATAACATAGCAGATTGGAAATTGTCGATCTCGACTTCACAAAACCATGCTGCTCGCTGACAATTATGTGCCTAAAATGAGGTGTTATTTTATCTGCAATTATCGATTCAAAAATCTTAGATATCAGAGATATTTTTGAAATAGCACGATAATTTTTTATATCAGAGCGATCCCCATCCTTAAAAACAGACGTCACATAACATTTCTTCCAACACATGGGGAACATTCCACTACTTAAGGATAAGTTAAAAATTTTACAAAGAATTTCTGCTAAAACATATTTACAATTTTGTAATAGAATGACAGGTATACCATCTGGACCCGGTCCTAATGTTTGTTTCAAACCACTAATTTTATTAAAAACGTCAATAACAGACAGTTGTAAAGAACTAAGACTAACAGATTTATCATAGACAAACGACACATCTGTATCCCTGTATTCCGAGTATACTGAAGAGAAATGCCTGTTAAACATGTTAGAGATCATCTCTGGATTATTACTGGATTCATCATCAAGGTTCATAGACTGAGGGTATTCGGAATTACCCTTTTTAGAGTTCACAAATTTCCAAAAAGACTTTTTGTCTGTTAACTGAGCTTCCATAGATTTTATATAACTTTGATGACTAGAGGACGACATATCTCTACACTGCTTAAATATGAAAAAACAGCATAATCTTGAAGAGATTGTGAAGCTTTGAATATCTTGTGCGCTTTCTTTTTCTGCAAGATTAGATTCTTCAACTCATCATTCATCCATCTAGGAAATTTGGGTGACAAAAATCTACACATGGGAACAAATGAGTTAACCGCATAATATAGTATGTCATAAAATTCCGAAACAACCCACTCCAAATCAGTACACTCAGAAACGAAGGACCAATCAACAGTAGACAGAAAACAATTTAAATCATGATAATTCGCACACTTAAAATTATGATAAAAATAATCACATGACATATTCATAGGTTGACCGTTACCCAAATTAAAACTGCATTCGAAGGCTGGGTGAGGAGCATCCAGCCTCAGCAATGGCTTATCACAGATAGAAACATTAATATTCATATGGTTGGAAAACAGTAAATCCAGAAAATTGCCATATTTATTTGGAATCTGAATATTTTGATACAATCCCAGGTATGCAACACAGTCTGAGATTGCTGAAGATTCCATGAAGAGATTTCCAGCTGGTAATGTTCCATTTTCATCATTCACCCAAGATATTTTTGGAAGGTTGAAATCACCCCAAAGAAAAATGTCTGTGAAGGCAGCACCGTCCACCAAATACATAAGTGACCGACCAAAAGCCTCGTAGACATCCACACCTGATACACCAGGGATATAAGCATTCCCAACCAATATTTTCTTTTTGTCGATGCAAATCGAAACAAAAACATGCTCAACACTGTCAACTGGAGTGATTACGTAATAACTTGTATCCTAAATTTTCTCTATAAAAACCTACCCTTCTATCCCATTCTTCGGTTCAGCTTTTCTGGCCCTGTTGCCAAATAGAGGCTCAGCACACTTAAGCCTCGATTATAGATTGAAAACGTTGCACTTGATCGTTACAGTTAAAGGTTGTAGTTCCTGACGAAACATGACCAACTTTTGGACGTCGGGCTGACAGTAAATTTGTAATCAAGATAATATTTCAGTGTTACGTAAACATTGGTTCAACGGTAACTTCAGGCTTTGAACCGAAACGTTTTCCATCTATAGTTGGGGCTTTAATTTAATTTTTTTTTATCCAGAGAACGTTTAAGTATTTTTATTTATTTGTTGGCCTTTTGTGAGGCCCCCTTGAACAAGAGGCCCTAGGCTAGCGGCAAAACCAGCCCTGCAAACATGAAACTTGGAACTAGAACCAATTGAGCTAGGAAATAGTCTATGAAAATCTCTGAAAATACACTAGAAATGGAGTGGGACAGAGACTTAAATTGACTATTCAATAATTTCATTGCATACTGTTGATAAAAAGTAATAATATTAATAATAAGAAACTATGGTTCATTTTTTCCCAAGTAAGATTTTGGCATTGAAAACTTTGAAACATAAACAATACCACTTGACTCTGATTGGTCGCAAAATGAGGTGTCCCTGCAGGTTGACAATGCATGTCGTGCAAATGGCATTTTGCGACCAATAGACAGCATTAGCGGCATTTTTTATGTTTCAAAGTTGACAATGTCAGAATCTATCTTGGGAAAAAATAAACTGTAGTCAATATAAGGTCTGTTTCTGCAGAAATCACAAACCAGTCAGAGCGAATTTCATTGGTTGAAAACAGAAAACTATGTAGTTTCAACCAATGAAATTCAATCCGACAGGTTTGTAATTTCTGCAGAAACAGACCTATAATGTGCTCCTAAGTCAAGTCCCAAGTAATTGAGTGAATGATTATTTTGTAGGTGCTATTGCTACATTCATCTCCAGATACAATGACAGTGGTATGTAATATGAAACGGAAGAGTATATTATTTGATTATCAACAGACCATATAAGTACTTCAGTAGAATTTAAAAAAAAAACTTGAAATAGGCTTTCTGCCTAGGTATCAAAAAATGCTCACCCCTAAAAAGTTCAGTTCCACTGCCGAGTCATTAAAATCCGAGTTAAAATCCTTGTCTGAATCAGTAAGGTCCTCGGTAAGATCAATAAAGCTACTCATTTGACTAATTTTCAAGATAATAGCTTAGGCTTAGAGAAATACAGAATGTCTACTGACAAAATGAATGCGCTAATCTGGTTTTAAGGAATGCAAATAAAAAAACATACCTATAGAGACAAAAACCAACCAAAAAACTAATATTTACCTTTTTGCGTGGGTGATTAGGGAGAGGAGTACAATCTTCAGATTCGTCCTGTTCTTCGTGAATAGGCTGCTTGAAAGTGGAGACTCCTCCACTTGCCGAATATAAATTGTTCAAATTTCGACGTGACTTTCCTATATTCAAGCAATTCCAGCTTAAAATGCTGGGATCTCTGGCTTGTAAATAAGAAACACATGGAGAAGGTTGTTCGGAGTCATTGTCGAGTTCCTCCATATATACTGTTAATTTTCAAGTTTAATTCAGCCTTATTATTTCTCAAAAAAAACGGCAAAACAGCGCTAGAAAAAACCGCAGAAACTAGAAACAGAAACAGAAAAAACAAAGAGCTAATGCATTTGAAATCAAATGAAATTCAAATTATGAAATTACAAAATGTCATTTGTCAACAATTGCAACGGTCAGCATGACTTTTGGCGTTCTTAGGGGATTTCATTTGGCCTATCTCAAGAACACTAGGCCCAGTTATACAATCTTGGTTCAAAACAGAGTTCAGATGAACCAATGAAGTAGAAAAAGTAGAAAGAAGGTTTGGAATGGGCTTTGCGTCATTCAATTGATTCCAGAATGAGTTAGCGCTAGTAAGGGCAAAAAATCTATTATATCTCTCACTCTAACCCTGAGTGAGATAGCGCTAATAAGGGCAGTAAAATCCTTTCAGGGATCTGCTGGCCGCAAACAGTGTTGCCAGGCGTACCATAATTATGTATTTGTACCATAATTTTGCAGAAAAATACTTCGTTAAATCGCGAATGCGATAATACATAATTTACCATAATTTTGACCTCTTTGTATTTTTCTTAACTTTATAATACTCCTTCTTTTATTTTCTCATGTTTTTGCTGTTTAGAAGTTTGAGAATTATGCGTGACGTCATAAATCCGGTTGCGTGGACGGTTGATCGGTTGCCGAGCCGCAGTTCTTTTCTATCTCACTCTCACTCACGACAGCGGACTTTTATTTTCACCAAGAATTTAATATTTATTTTTGTTGTTTGCATTTTTAGTTTGTGCTATTTATTGTAATAAAGTTTATTCAAAAATTCATGTGTAGTGTAACATAATTCTTTTTCAAATAACATAATTTTGACCGCAAATATATGCATATGATATGCATTAGGTCGGCATACACACGCGTTATTTCGCGCGTTTTATCGTGGCGTGTTGGGATGTAGCGGTTTGCACGCGCGAAAGAACGGCGTGGCAAAAAAGTGTCTTGTTCCATACGCTTGACAAAGTATTCAAATGATTTAGCACGTGATTACGCGCGGCATATCAGTTGGAAAGGAAAAACCGTATGTGTATGGGTAAAAAGTGTCATTTATCGTGTCGTTTGGAAGTGCATGTTGTCATGTACTAATTTTCAACGTGATAGTTTGCTAGGCGGCGTTTATGTCTCCGTACTAGCCTCAAAACCGTGACGTGGAATGGCGTGTGGACACGGTTGTGAACTGCACTATCATGTACTTGAGTACTGAGACGTCACATTCCAGATGAAAGCACGTCTGAAATCCCTTCCCATTCTGGCAAACGGCTATTCCAACCATCTTACTACTCCATTGAGCTGAACTCGACTGGTACTTGAACTTACCCATTTGAAAATTTTAAATGCATTGTTGTCAAAATTGATAGAATTTGATTAATAGCTGACAGCAATGTATTTTAAATGGAAAAGCTTAAGTAATACCAGTTGAACTTTGTTTTTAACCGAGATTGTACAACTTTGTCTAAACATAGGACTGGTTCAATGAAAACTGGTTTGGTTATTGAGCTGAAAATGTCTTCCACAAAATGCATAAGCCGAGTTTAAAACAGTATAGGTCGAAAAAACGAAATAACGAACGTTAAAATCTGGTTAAAATCACCTTTTCTACATTTAAAATGGACGAAAAAACAAGCCTGAAACGCAAACATTACATCGAGGCCTGCGGGTTACGTCACCACTATAAGCTGCTAATAGTGGTGACGTCACTCGCAGGCCCTGCTAACTCGAGATTTGGCGAACGTACGTCTAATGAGGATGAGCAATCCTGTTATTAACGATTCTTGGGTCTACCCTATTCGATAGTCAAGACTATCGATATTAGTTATCGATATTTCACCACTTTTCCCTACCTACTCCTCCTTACAAATCGGATACTTCAAAAAAAGTTAACCTTGAATTTGTGTAAATTGTATAGACCAGTGTTGCCAGAATTGAAGGATTTCCTTCAATATGAAGGGTTTTGATCTAAAATTTTGACTACTGAAGGATTGAATGTTTTTATCCGAATTTGAAGGATTTTGAGGCAAATTGTATATTTAGCAAATATTCCACTCATTTCACCAACAAATTTAATATTTATTAAAATAAATTAATAAGTTGCATGAGAAAAAATACGAAACGGTAATTTCGACTACGCCACTGCGTCCTGCGTCAGAATATATCCCCTCGTTTTTATTCTAATCGGAGGACTTCACCGATTAGTTAGCTACCTATCTTTGTTTAGTGAATGTAAAATGACAATGACCGACATAGAATGGTGGATTCATCAGTAAAGTTTGATGAGAATAAAAACGCAGGGTACGTGTGCCTCATGCCGATGCCCGTATTAAGGGGGCAACATCGCTCCCATGCACACGATACAAAATACAGAAATCGGTTTTAGACTACAAAAAAAAACCGCACATCAGAATTTGCTGAAATTTGGCATAAACATTCCTTGATCGATTATCTAGAGAATAGTGCAGTTAGATTTTCCATATTTCTAATTTTGGCCTATATTGTGAAAATGAACTATTTCCCAAAAATAGAAAAATCCACGGTAAAAATTGAAAAAATAAGAGCACTATTTTCTAGATAATCGATCAAAGAATGTTTAGGCCAAATTTCAGCAAATTCTGATGTGCCGTTTTTTTTGTAGTCTAAAACCGATTTTGGAATAAAATTACAGATATTTTGGCAAATATAGTTCAGGCTTTTTTTCGAAGATGGCGCCACCAGTCAATTCGTGATGTCATAATTAGGCGTTTTCGAAAAACCCGAACCGTTGGAGCAGCAGCTGATGTAGGTTGTTCAGCGTTTCCAAAAAAGCCTATTGACAACGAACCTCTTTCTCACCTTGTGTATTTGTTTTGTTTTTTATTATTGGTTTATGAAATAATAGGCACAAAGCATGCTGTGCCCATAGTTTCCATTGAAAATAAAAATAAAGTATAGTCCAACACATACCATTTTAAAGTCACGTGATTTTTCTCTATCCTTGTTGAATACATCTCAAACAGCGGTGATAGTAGAATTGACAAAAAAATTGGTGACTAATTATTGTTCATAAAATTCTTACCTGAAATAGAATCCGTCACTGTCATCAATTAGTTTGTCAAAGTTATTTTCGAAAATGATACAACGAACAAACACAGCTAATAATTTCGACTATATTAACCTTTTTCCATCTCGAAAAGAAGCAAATAGAAAACGATGAGCACCCAATTCAAGTTCAGAATGAATTACAATGGGCAGCAGATGCGTCAAAAGTGAGTCTCGCAACAATTGCAAGTATTAAAATTCCCATCTGATTGGTTAATATTACTTCAGAAACGCGTTTGTAAAATGCTAGTGGGAACATATCTTAAAATTCAATAGTTATTAACCACCAGTAACTTTTTGTAGGTGATATCAACGACATAATCAACGAACATACGTTTTTTGCCACCAATATCACGTGACTTTAAAATGGTATTTGTCGGACAAGCTTGATTTATAAACTCTCAGTCACCGTTCGTTGTCACCGTTCCCGTTCGTTGTCACCGTTCGTGTCGTTTCTAAGCATTTATAAACTCTAAACCATTGCTCTAAACCGTTACACAACACAAACAAAAACACATCCTAACCCAATATATTTATCTTGAATCACATGACCAAAATTGTCTAATTTGATTGGCTACTGCACGAACGACGAACGGTCGAGTTAAAAGTTAACCAAGGTGGAACGGTGCCGTTCGCGAGGAAAACGACGAACGGGAACGGCAACGGTGGATATAAATGCTTACATTAATTTCCTATATTTGAAGTTGGAACGGGAACGGGAACAACGAACGGTGACGGGAACGGTGGAGTTTATAAATCACACTTATATCTATTTTACGTAAGAGCATTCAATTTAGGTATCTGGCGACTTGCATTTCTTTTACTAGCTCTTGGATCTTTTACCAATATCTGAAATTGTGTAAGACTCCTGGTAGGACTATTTTTTTATTATGCCTCCGAGTATTCCTCTATTTGTAAACCCATTCATGTGCCAATTGCTTCCTGAAAATCTCATAGGTACCTACACAGATTAACTCGTCCTAAAGATAGGAAACTTCCATGTAAAATGTTCGTTCGCAGCTGTCTAAAAAATTGCACGTATGAGAGTTTCATGACTGCCAAAGCTATGCGGCGCTAGTATAACAAAGCCACAAGCAAATGTCATCTGTAAAAGAATGTAATTTGTCATTGTATTTGCCATTAGTCAGCCGTTTGATGTGTGTTAGTGTTCTTCTTATTCTATGGTGTTCTTTATTTGATTTTCTATCAATTTTTAGTAAAACTTTGACTTCTTAATATGTTTTTAACCAAAGAGACTTTATGTTACATGTAAACATTGTGGAAATGGTTTTAGTGATGGTATTTATTTGCAATTTTTGACAAAGTTATTTGTGCACTAGACCCTTCAACTTTTTAGTGTTTTTTTTTTCAATACGGTTTTCTGTTGTTGTGTTAAAGTTAAAGAAGGAGATAGTACTGAAATGTTGTTGTTTTATTTTCAAAAAATAGGGCTTAATAATGGAATGAAATTGATTAGACAAATTATTTGAAAGAAAGCGGGAATCACGTGACTACTGCCACAATACTGGACACACCGAAGTGCACACTGGCGCCACCATGCTGTGGCAGTCATGCAACTCGCTGCATGAGTAAGACAAGGATAGGGAAAAAGGCCCGAGTTTCCTATCTTTAGGACGGGTTAATCTGTGGGTACCTACCACAACTAAACATACCTCAAAAACAAGCTCTACAACAAAACATCACTTTTACAGAGTAGAACAAAATTTGAAGTCATACGAGGCATGGAAATACAAATCCCTCCATATTCTCATTAGCCAATCAGTGCGAACTGAGTGAAAAAAGTTGCACTGATTCTGCAAATTGAAATCGCTATAATATTTAAAATGCTCCACTGTAAAAATGCTTTCATCTTGGCGCCATCTATAATTTTTTTTAGAACTAAAATATAATTTGAAGGGGGGGGCCGTTGAGGCCTTAAGCCGGAGTCTCATGCATCCGATTTCCGATGAAAGATGTCCGAAAAA